CCACCCTTCCCTTCCCTTCCCCCCTCCCTTCCCCTCCCTTCCCTTCCCTCCCCCTCCCCCTCCCCCTCCCCACTCATGGCTTCTTCGCAGGTCGAGTTTTCTTCCTCCTCCTCGCCCTTCCGCTGCGTGCACAGAAGAGACCGTAACCGCCGAGACGCCAATGTCGCTGCCACCCATGCTGCTCGTTTTCGCAGCAACCTCAAGAGTTTGGTCATGGATCGCCTCAACGATTGCATTTCAATCACCCCAAATCAAAATCACAATCCCGCTCCCAGCCGATGTGCTGCCAAACAGCTTCAACGAGCCTTATCTACCATTGCCTCTCAACACACTTCCGCAAAAGCCCCACAGACACCAACGCCTCCTGCTCCTCCTGAAACGGACGAGGGAACCTCTAAACTTGGAGCATCTTCTCTGGTTCAGATATGGGAGAAGAGGCTAAATGTTTCCTCCAACGTCAGTTTGAATGCGAATACAAACGCCAACAGCAAGCAAGCTGTGGAATTAGAGAATACCACGGATACGGAGCAAGCGTGCTCTGTGGGAGCAGCAGGGGATTTCGAGGACGAGAGTTTCGATGCAGGGCCCGTGAGCGAGGACGGCTTTGCAGATTGGCATTCCAGCAGAACAACGTCCAGTTCTCCACCCTCTTCCAGGCAAAGCCATAGTTCGGACGCTGGAGAAAGCGAGAAGGTGCGCGTGGTTGATATCATCAGGAGATTGACACTCACGGCTGCGAAACCTACCCATCCATCTTGTGTCGAAGACAACGACCACTCAAATGAATCCTCCTCGCGTTCCGCTCTGATTCTCAGAGAGCGAGTAGAGCGCAAATGTCTTTCTCGTATATTACGCTCTCCCCGGATCAGAGGACGCCAGGCCTTCGCCGATTTACTATTGCAAATCCAGCGGGACAGGCAAAAGGAGCTCGACACGTTGGTAGAGCGTCGAGCCGTTTCTAAATTCCCCCAACGTGGTCGCATCCAGGTCCGATTTCTCTCTTTCTTTTTAATCACTTTCTTATCTTATCTGATCTTCATGGATCACTGTTCTACATTACATCTTATCGAACTATTCTTATAAATTGAATGATTGCATCGAGCGAATCACGCATTTGTAAAATATATTTTACTAAATCACCTAACTATTATTGGGTTGTGAGATGCTGCAGTCGCTACTTCGGCTTAAAATCCTGAAACGTGTAATGGCATTGGAAGATGAGCAACAACACCCAAATCTTGCAATAATGCCCCGAGAGAATCGTAGATCTTCTACCATCATGCATCTCAGGTATAATCAATCAATTGACAACTTGTGATTTAATTATATTTGCAATTGCAATGCCTATGCCTTAGGATTTTGGCTTCACGCAGGGAGAAATTTAGTGGAGTTGGTGCAAGAAGCTCGCTTGCAGAGATGCTAAACGCTAACGATGACAATAAAACCCAATCAGATAGAGATACCCATGCCGTCGATACTAGTGATAACCATAACGATAACCAGCAGGTGGTTGCCAATGCCATAGATAGCAGCATAGACACAGTACGTGTCAATCCAATTCATGCCGTCGGTACTAATGATAACGATAACGATAACCAGCAGATCGTTGCCAATGCCATCACAGATAGCAGCATAGACACAGTACGTGACAATCCAACTCCTGCCGTTGATACTAACGATAACGATAACCAGCAGGTCGTTGCCAATGCCATAGATAGCAGCATAGACACAGTACATGACAACCCAATTCATGGAGATGACAAGGAGAAAATTGAAGAACAAGGACGTGAACAAGAACTTGATCCTCCAACTTCGGAGGCCACATGGCAAGATACCCCTGATTTGAATTTGGATTCACCAGATTCAATCAGTGGATCGGAAGATAGAGAAGAGACTTATGAGAGAACCAGCTACGATTGGTTTACTGATATTTCTCGCCCTCGAAGTTACTGGGAAGGCCGCAGGCAAACTTGGTATCAACAAATGCTCGATTCTACCTCTGCCAACGATGAAATACGTCAACTTATTAAACGGTATACCACTTCTTTACTCGTTTCCCAAATTGACTAGTTAATTAGCATTTGATCCTGTTACCCAATGCACCCTGTTATTTGTTATGGGAGTCGAGCTGCAATAGCAAGTTCCCCTTGTTTTGTTGAGGGATAACTCGAATTTGCATCTGTTCAGATGGCTTTAGTTATATATGAATGTTCCCCTCTGCAAGCAATGAAGTTCCAAAATTGAATTGTGGATGCAGGAAAACTGTATCCAATTGTTTATCGAGTGGCTTCCGTGAAAGAATGGATAAGCTAATGGTGTCTCGATTAGAGCGGCGAACTCGGCAACAAGAAGAATATGATGAGGTCAACGAGGAGGATAATGTGGCAGAAGAAGAGCTGTGGTGTTTCTCAGAAGGACGCACTCAACCAAAGAGTAGTGATAACGAAGAAGAAGATGAAAGAAGCTTGATTAGCGGTCAATCTCCTGAAGGGGGCGATTATTTGGATCAATCTGTATCGCCTTTGCAATTGGCATCCCCATCAATGGTGAGCTCATTGAGCTACCAGGATAACGAGATGGGTGAAGATTCCAATAGAGGCGCATCCAGTTCCTCACCCCAACTTTTTCCACCTCAATTTTCCTCCAACAACCAACGCTCTTCCCGCGTCTCAACAAACCATCATCCTTCCATTGTAAGCGGCTCCCCCCAAGCCTAATCCTGCTTTTACTTGATTAGTATGTTAGGCTGACAATTGTAAATTTGTAATGGCGAAGGAAATGGAAGTGATATGCGATTTAAGAGGGCATATGGAGCAATTGTACCGGGAGATGTCGGAACTGAGAAAATCAATAAAATGTTGCATGGACATGCAACTCATGCTGCATCAGTCAATCAAGCATGAAGCAGTGGCAGGTAAGCCCACCTTTGTCATAGTTTTTAGTGTATGCTTGGCTTGAATTCTTCTAACGGAATAGGCATAGCAGGAGGAGGGAGGAAACCCAGTAAAGAGAGATCATCAAGAAAGCGCAAATGTTGTATTTGCTACAATATGCAGATTGACTCACTGCTGTATAGGTAACTTACCCAAGTTTGGATTAGATATTACATAAGATTTTGATGATATTAGAGGAAAACTGTGTGAAGAAGTGGAAAATGATGGGTTTTGCAGATGTGGGCATATGTGTTGCTGTATGAAATGTGCAAAGGAATTGCAATGGCGAGGGGGAAAGTGTCCAGTTTGCGGAGCTCCGATAGAGGACGTCGTGCGGGCCTCTTTTACTGCACATTCATAGGAAGGATTAGCAGCTTTCGATGAACGAGTTCTTGCTTCAGAGGACCGTCTTCATTCTTCATCATTTTATTTTATTTTATTTTTTTTTCTTCTCGCCAACCACCGCTTCCCCCGTGCATGCATTATCATTTATCACTGCTCTCTACGACTACCTTCAACCCAACAACAAACCCTTCTCTTTTTTTCTTTTTTTCCCCTTTCTCTTTTGGGTTTTGTTCTTTTCTTTATCCAAAATGCACATACCATCTTGTATGCTTTGTAACTAGTCATTTTGTATTTTACCTTCTACTGTGAATATTGTACGTGTGTAAGTTATTTGGAGGAGAAATATTGTAATACCAGACTGTTTCAGTGTTTTTTTTTTTATTATACTTATAATGATATCGTAGATAGGTTTGCGTAAAACCGTTTGCGTAAAACCTTCAGCCAATTAATCAAGATGATGAGTAAATTTTAAGTTTGTTGGTACAAAAACGAGTAAGTTATTATTTTGTTTAGTATAACAAATGTGCTATGAATTACAATAATTTTTAATGTTTCACGGACTTAATTAATAAAAATCAAATTGGGAAGGAAAATACTATATATAATAAAGTGTGCATGGTTGACCCAACAACCCTAATGATCATCAAGAATCAGTTGGGTAGTATTCATATTATAAGAAGGAAGGTAGATACAATTTTGGTAAAAACAAATAAATATTGGGTTTTTGTAAAATAAAAGAATCATATAGATATATATTTTTTAATTAAGTTTGAATAGAGTATAGGCACTAAAATAAAATAACTCGAACTCCTTAAACTAAAATTGTAGGTTATAGTTAATAACTTGTATAAAGTTAAAGAACAAAAGTAGGCAAAGTAGATGGACGTGAACCACTCCCTTCTTAAATTATCTTTATTAACAATTATGCACTCGAAAATGTGGCTGTTCCTTAACTCTTATGTCAAAACTCCACCCATCTCACTTGTTCCATTATACAATTAATTATTGTGTTAAGGAGAAAATATTCATTTATCTTCTCCATGAATTTATATGAAGGACAAATTAAGAAGTAGAATGAAAGTGAAGCATGTTTGAATATGGTGAAAAACCGAGATCTGGGTATCCTCACTTCACTTCTGCCTGCCTGTGCTCGAATTGAATTAAATTATATCATATTGTGTAATATTAGAATAATAATAAAGGTTTGAAAGGTTGGACTGTTAATGATTGGCCAGTCTACAGGCCTTATTTTTAATTATTGTTTGTTTGAAACAGAGGCTGTATTGTTTATTGATTTATTTAAATATATTGCATTGTTTTTAATAATAAATTTAAAATAAAAGTTGTATTTTAAAAGCAATATGCCAGATGTGATTATTTAGAAAAGTATTTGTAAGAACGTGGTACAGTTTTTAGAGAAATGGGGAGATGTAGAGAAACACGAAGGATATTTGAAATGCGTTGGGGGTAATTTGTATAAGAAACAGAAGTGAAAGGTAAATAGAATTTTGGAGCACCGACGAGGCAGATCAATCCCGTGGCGGCATGTAGTGGGAAAATGAGAGAGGGCACGCGTTAAGTAGAGGTTCCTCTGCCGCTTCGGATTTACAGCACGAGGTTGGGTGTGGGAGGGGCCCAATTCCGAACTGGATGACATTGACGCGCACCCTTAACATCTCGCCACCGAATCATTCTATTCCCATTTTTGCACTTCACCCCCTCCATCTCTTATACTATTTTCTTTTAGGTCCTCCTCTGACCTTTACCGTTTACCATTTACCCTTGACCCTTTACTTTTGATCCTTTACCATTTACCGAAGAAGGCGAGCATGATGGTGACGGTAAAGGAAAGAGTGGGAGGGCTTGATTATTCCATGGAAAAGGAAAGGGTTAAGGCGAAATTAATGAAATGAAGGGTAATTAGTAAATTCCATTGCCAGCCTCACCTGCCTTTTTCTTTTCTCCCCTTCTTACTTCTCAACGCGCACTCTTTCTCTCTCTAGCGGCGTCAATCAGTAAATACAAAGTAAAGGAGGCGGAAGGGCTCTTTCCTTCTTCCTCTCAAACCCACAAAAACAGAACATCACAATTATTAATAAGATCCCAACCCCAACCCCATCCCCATCCCCACCCCCACCCCCACCCCCGTTGCCAACCCAACCCTTCCTCTTCTTTCCTTCTCTCTCCCGTCTGCTTTCACCTTTACAGATCACATATTCAAGAGCATCGCAGCGAACCTTCTTCCCTAAAAACCCCTACCCCAACCCCAACTGGGCTCTGCTTCCCATCACAACCTCAGATTCCCTTGCTTCTCTCTCTCTCTTTCTCCTACCATGGCAAAAGACCGAGAAAAGAGGATGTATGTCGGAGTTTTTTTTAGCTATGCTGCGGAACTCAAGCTTTTTCTTTCCGCTCTCCTCCTTCTCTGTGCTCTCGCTACTCTCCTCCAGTTCCTTCCTTCTCGTTTCACGCTCTCTATCGCAGATCTCCGTTCCTGCTCCGCCGCCCGAGATTCCCCCCCTCCTCCTCCTCCACCTTCTTCTCTATCAGCAACACTCCGTTCTTCTGTACCCCCTCCAACTCTCATCCCCTCCCCTCCAACAGATCAGCTGCTTCCCAATGGCGTTCTCCGCCGCGCTTTTCACCCTTACGGTGCTGCTGCTTATAACTTCATTACTATGGGTGCTTACAGAGGCGGCCTCCACAACTTTGCCATTGTTGGTTTAGCCTCCAAGCCTCTTCACGTCTTTGGGCGTCCCACTTTCCAATGCCAGTGGATTCCTCGCCTCCACCCCTCTAGTCCCATCAACGCCTCCGCCTTCAAGATCCTTCCCGACTGGGGCTACGGTCGCGTTTACACCGTTGTCGTCGTCAATTGCACTTTCTCTCACCCTGTTAATGCCGACAACCAGGGTGGAAAATTGGTTCTCTATGCCTCCACTTCCGGTGGCGGAGATCGCGACATCAACCTTACCGACACGATTGAGGTGCTAACAGAAACCCCCGGTGGAATGAACGCTTCCCTTTTCACATCGAAGCCCAAATATGACTATCTCTACTGTGGGTCGTCCCTGTATGGGAACTTGAGCCCCCAGAGAGTGAGAGAGTGGTTGGCATACCATATCAGGCTATTCGGGGCCAGATCCCACTTTGTAATACATGATGCGGGCGGGGTTCATGAGGAGGTGCTGGAAGTTTTAAAGCCATGGATGGAATTGGGGTATGTGACATTGCAGGACATCAGGGAGGAGGAAAGGTTCGATGGATACTATCACAACCAATTCATGGTGGTGAATGACTGTTTGCATCGGTACAAGTTTATGGCCAAGTGGATGTTCTTCTTCGACGTGGATGAGTTCATCTTCGTGCCGCCGAAGAACACCATAAAATCAGTTCTGGATTCGCTTTCAGAGTACTCCCAGTTTACAATTGAGCAGATGCCCATGAACAGCAAGACGTGTCTGACAGAGGATGCGGGGAGAACCTACAGGTACGAATTAGACATAGACACAGTGATTAATTAATTATAGTTAAGGAATTGAATAATGAATAGTGTGGTTGCATTGGGCGGCAGGAAGTGGGGGTTTGAGAAGCTGGTATACAAGGATGTGAAAAGGGGAATAAGGAGGGACAGGAAGTACGCAGTGCAGCCGCGGATGGTGTATGCGACGGGGGTGCACATGTCGGAGAACGTAGCCGGGAAGTCCACACACAAGACGGACAGGATCATAAAATACTTCCATTACCATGGCACCATTGCGCAGAGGAGGGAGCCCTGCCGCTCCCTTTCCAATGAAACCCAGCTTACTCTCGACAACACCCCCCATGTGTTGGACACCACCATGCGCCTCGTCGCCCCCGCCGTCAAGAGATTCGAGCTCAAAATGATCGGTACCAGGTTACAGGCCACGCGCCAATAATTAGTTCTCATTTCTTTCTTTCTTTCGTTCTTTCTTTCTTCACATCACAACTCTTCGTTTTTTTCATAAAACTAAAAATACATGTTTGGGGGAGAGTGGGGGCATTGGTTGTAATTATTTTGTTTACTCTTTTTTTTATTTTTTTGTGCTCGATCAAAATTTTACATCACAAATAAAAACAGAAATTATTAAGCCACATTCCATTGTGTGTAGTATAGAGAAAGAGGAGATGGGTGGTGTCGGCATCCCACCCAAACAGAAGGTATAGGAAGGGCTCTGTAATGCGTTTCAATTATGTTTAGTTCTGGTCCATAAAGATGGGATTGTTTAATCATCCTCTTAATTTTAGTCATAAAAAAGTAGGGCAGAGTTTTGGGTTTCGAATAATTACAACTAGATAGGTTATTAAATAACGAGTAAGCTAATTAAATAATATACGAATGTCTTTTCAACTGCTTTCGTAATTGGGTATTGGTCTGCCGCTTCGAGTTCAAGGAATCCGAGGTTCAACTTTCTTTCTGGGTTTATTATAATAATAATTCTGTGTTTCCCATTCCCAGCCATGCGTATTCCGTTTTTTTTTTTTTTCCTTCTCTCTTTTACTATGTGGACAATTTGTTTTTAGACCTTAAATCTATTTTGGAACTATTTTTAAATAATATAAAAATTGGGAAACTGAATAATGGTGTAGTAAAAAAACAGAAAACTAAATAATATTTTTAGTAGCTTACTAGAAGTCCAGCAGAAAATACTACTACCAGTACTACTACTACTAATAATAATACAGTAGCTTACTAGAAGTCCAGCAGAAGTAATACTAATAGTAATAATAATAATAATAATAATGTAGCATGGGGGCTAGAAGAGTAAGAGGGTTGAATTATTGGGATAGCGTCAAATTGGGCGGTGTCCTTTGAGTAACAAACTTTGATTTGAAGATTTTGAAAAAGAAATGAAACTGATTATTAGTGGTGGGGGGAAGTGAGAAGGGTTGGTGCAATGAAATGACCATTCTGAAATCTCATTGGCGGTAGTAAACAAAGCATCCCCTCCCAGTCCCGCAGAATCTAGAATCAAAATATGTTAGAATTGGAGGTGGACAAAGAAGCAGAAAACCAGAAGGAGCATCTCACTAATTATGGTGGGTACATACTTGAGTAGAGCGTTGAGTTTAATCGCGCCATCTGCGTTTACCAATAGCTTTCCAACGCCAGTTGCGTCCAGATAACCTCTAAAAAAAAATTTGAAAGTTGGAGGGATACTTTGGAAAAATACAAACTTCTCAATATTCTTTTTATACCATAAAATTGAAATCTCAAAAAAACTAAATGCATCTAAATATAAAATTCATGAACAAAAAAAAAAAAAAAGAAGAAAAAAAGGTACGAATTAAGTTTTCGAGTATTAAGAGAATAGAGCCCATGGGCCATTGCAGCT